GAGGCAACATGAACTATGTGTATCCTTCTCATCCAGCACAGAATATTCCCACTATCTCAGTGCATATGTGGAATTTGACTTTGGATAGAGAACAGCTGGCTCAGAGTGCACCCAGGAAAACTGAACCAAGTCCCTACCTTTACTGAATCATATTCATAGCAGCACCTCAGCCCTACAGGCTCTTGTCCCCCTCCCCTACTCTCATTTATATCTCCCTGCCTTCTCACTTGCTACTCATTCATATTCAATGTTTCCTTTTTCTGTTCCTGATTTTTTGTGCCTTTTTTCATGTTTCTTCCTCCCTCTTCTCTCTGCTAAGCACACTCTCCCTGCTATCAAATCAATCTCTTCTTAAAACTCATACCCATGAACCTCTGTTCTCCCCACCATTGAGGTTTCCATGGGAGTTAGATTGCAGGCTCTTTGGCCATGGACGGTTCTCCTTTCAGTATTGCCTGTGCACATGGGGAGAGAATGTGCACCCCTACTTGTTAGCCATGGCTTACCTCCTTATATGCACCAGTACATTCATAGTAGTCACGAGAAGGCAGACCAAGCCCAGGTTGATCAATCTACAAAAAACAATTAAAAAAGCTTACAGACAAAATAGTCCCACCCTGTAGCAAACCAAAATTTTGGAAATAATGAAAGTATTGCTCTCTGATTTCATTCTTGCCTAAATATTGCAAATCCACAGGCTGACTGAGGTGGAGCTCTCTCTCTCTCTTTTCCTACCTTCCTCTTCTCCCCCCCCCCTCTCTTTTCTCCTCTCCTTTTTCCTTCCTATTACTGGAAAACTTTAAATCAAGACTGAATGCATTCCTAAGAGCCATGCTGTAATACAAAAACACATATTGGACTTGAGGAGGGATTAATACAGGGAAGTCCTCTGGCCGTGTCCTGCAGGATGTCAGATTAGATAATCACAGTGGAACCTTCTGGCCTTAAAATTTATGAATCATCTCCTCTTAGCTATTTCCCTCTGCTGCTGCCCTTTGAACAATACAGTCCATTGTGGCATTGTCTTCAGAGGTAAGCAGATAATGCAACTGGTGGCAAGGAATATACAGACAAATCTACAGATGGGCACCATGGCTCTTGCATACTCTATATAATGTGTAAAACAGACTAGATTCACCATTGCTAAGGGTTGCATGAGAAAGCTGGGTTGCAGATGGATTCACCAGTGCCCTTCCCCAGATATTCTGCTAGGGGAGACTATTTTAAATTATGGCCAGAGCAGACTACACAGCAGCTGCCTGGAAAATATGCTATTTAATCAACAAAGAGACTGGTCATCCTGGCCACATCCCTTTCAGAGCTTTACAGTGGAGTAAGGGGTGTGACTGTCTTGTACAGCTGCAACTCCCTTCTTGGTGGGTTTTCTGCCTTAGGGTCTTGCAATCCTGAGTTATGCTGGCTGAGCATAGTCCAGCGAGTACAAGAAAATACGCTGCGTGCATACTCTTTTCATACATATACAGATATTTGTCACAGTCCTATTAAGTATAATTAAAAACCCTCAGTAACAGATTCTCTGTACCAGACTGATAAAAGCTTTAAATACAAAGGGTACAAACATTCATAAGATTTGCTATTGCTTAACTGCCAAAATTCAAATCAGTACTTTTTCCTTCTGACTTCTTATAGCTAATATTTATAAAATAGAGTGAAATGTGTATGGTTCAGGATTATTTAGCCAATGCCATCCTAGCAGACTTACATGAATGATATGCGCTGTGGAGTTCTTATCATCTGTGCCAACAAAAAAATTAATAAGGACCCTTTTCCCATATTGTGAATTCAGTTGTGCAATAGCTGTTTCAGCTGTCCAACTGGCACCTAAGGAAATGATAGATGCATTTAGTCTCAGTATTTTTGGAAAATAAAGAAAAATACAAGCATTTAGAGATTTTAACAGAAAAATAAACAGACAAAAGTTGTCCTACCATATGCAGAGTCCCAGTTATCTGTTGCTACAGGCCATTCAGACACCCGTGGCAATATATTGATTAAAGGTTTTCCACCTTTACTATCAATAGTAGCTTTTGGAAACAAGAAAATTAATACAGTATGAGTTATATGCCCAGATATCTTAAAACATCCAAATACTATATTGACTTGTATAAAAGGTTCTCCATATTCCAGGATTCTGCAGCTGAAAAACTTTCCCACAGAACACATCCACCAGCAGCACCGCAGATTTGTGCTCCAGAATCTGAGATTTTTTTTTTTTTAATTCTCTCATGGATGCAAAACAAACCAACCAAATAAAAAAAACTTTAAAACGTGAGCCAGTGTAAACTGAAGTACAGTCTGCTGCAATCACCTTCAAACAATAGCTCTGAAAAGTTTCAGAGCTAACATTTCACTCTGACACCTAACAATGATAATTCAAAGGGCTACACTGTTAGCTATTTTACTGCTGATCATTTTAGTAAAAACATCTGGCTAACATTCTTATCCCCCAAATCCAAAACTGTCTCCCCATGCCTTTCCTGATGTCAGAAGTCCCAAATGACTGCTACCCAGCACTCAAAATCTCCATCTTACCCCTCAAGAATTTCTACAGTGCAGTTCTAAGTTGCCGACAAAAGGCAGCAGCACACAGAATACTGAAAATGCATGGGAAGAGTAATATAAACTGATATCAAAATTAATAACATGGGCTACTGTACTGATGTTGATATTTAATTAAATAAAAATCTACATAAGAACAGCCATACTGGGTCAGACCAAAGGTCCATCTAGCCCAATAACCTGTCTTCTGACAGTGGCCAATGCCAGGTGCCCTAGGGAGAATGAACAGAACAGGTAATCATCAAGTGATCCATCCCCTGTTGCCCATTCCCAACTTCTGGCAAACAGAGTCTAGGGACGCCTAATCTAGTTTACATGAAGTTGGGTCAGAACTTCCAGTTTGCTTCCTGAGATGGCCCCAGAAGCTGGGGATCTTTGTAACATTTGGGTACAGCTCCCATGCACTGTGCAGTAAATGGATTATGCCCATATTTGTATAGAAATCTTATGTACAGTAATTTGTGGAAAAACTTACTTTCATTTATACATGATCTGTACAGAGTTTTTGCTTTCTGCACTGCCACTATGTCATTACTGTTGTCCCTGTCAAGGACATCTGAAACAAAGAACACATACATGGAAAAATATTACAGCATCTCATCTGCAATGGGAGGAGCCCGGAGAAAAACATGATGGAAACCAACTGGGAGCACAAGTATGGGGGATCAATAACTCTTCAGCATGCTCCCTGCTCATAGCAAATCCCATAGAAGCCCCTCCATTCCAAGTCTGAGAGGACAGGGCCCTGGAGGTGGCATGGCTGGGTGGGGAGTGGTAAGACTCTTGAGACAGCTACTCTCCATGGTATCACCTCTAGTCTACAGATGTTTCCCAATAATGTTTGCCAGGTGCTCCTTCTATGGAGTCCCCCTCTGTAGAATGAAAATTCCCTGGCCCTGGAAGGAGAGTTTGCAGATGGTGGGGAAGCTCTGTGAGTAGAGGGAGCTGTGTTGCCATGCAAGAGGTGAAGCCTAGGAAACAGTACAAGAATATTGGGTTTTCCTGCAAAAGCCTATGACCACTGGAGATGCTCTGAGTTTTACAGGTTGTGTCCCCCAAATGATCTGCTGGGGGTAGCTGGGAAGGGTGCTAGCTCCCCACCCCCTGACACACAATGGAATGATTAGAAGAATACCCTATGTGTGGAAACTCAAGGGAGGGATTATATAGGCCACAATCCTGAATTTGGTCTTAATACCTTGTGACATCTTGATATGCCTTGACCTTAACATTTAGAAAGGGGTCGGCCTGCTTGGCTGCAGCTCAAGGAGTAATGCAGAATGTAAAGCTGGCACAGAGCAACTTCCAGCATGTGGAGCAGTGCTCCAATGGCTCACACAGAGGGAAATTCCTTTCTTCCCCTCACCTGGAACAGCTGTCACTTATAGGTCATGAGGGTAATGAATTGGGTTTCAGCTGTTGTAATAGGCGGATAAGTGCACACACAGAATTCAGTCATCACAGGGGTCAGTTCTGGACAAGTCTGCTTCAGTGGTCAGCTACTATTTTTCAGAAACAACAGCATAACCACCAAAGCTCAAATTACCAGCCAAGCAAATAGTCTGGCTTGGCTTATGCTGAACTGAATACAGAAGAATCTTGACTATTCTATCATGTATAAACCTTTATTAGACAACATGTTCTGATTACACATAAGCCAAAGAGGAAACTTTTATATGGTCCAGCTTTCTAGTACATGGACAAACTCCACTGACCTTTCAAAACAACTTCTAGTTCATCTCTTAAAATGTCAAAGTTGCTGTAACGGGAGCTGGTCTCTGGAATGACATTCTTCTTTAACCATCCTCCACAGGCATATTGGTAAAAATCTTTACAAGGTTCTGCAGTAGTGTCCATATTCTCAATGATTCGGGCTGCTGTAATATGAGACAGATCAACATGTAGAAACCTTAGAGAAAATAAATAAATCTGGATTCTGAGGTGGAAAGGGACAAATATAATTCCTGAGTTTAGGATATTCTGGCTTCCCCCTTCCCTCTCCAAAACACCTATACAATCTTCTTAAATTAAAAGAATTTTTTATCTAAACTAGCCAGTAAATTTAATAATTTAACATCTTTAAAGCCCTGTATAGACAATGATGAATACATCCTCACGACAGCCCTGCGAGTTGGCTGGGTATTATCTCCATGTTACCAATGGGAACACTGAGACAGTAAGGTAAAGTAACTTATCCAAGGCAGAGTCAGTGTGAGAGCCAGGATTTTTAGAACTTAGAATCACCTGACTCCCAACCCTGTGCTCATTCTTCCAGACCACACCATCTTTCTAATTCATACTGTAATATGATAAATACTAAATTGATATCTGATATTGTTCACTGAAAGATCTTCATCCTCAAAGGGCAGTAGAGCTGGACCCACATGTAGTGCTGAGTAAGCAGCCTTAACAATCAATCACTGGAGTTTTGCTTTATCTAAAAGATATTTTAAAAAAAACCATTTTTGTGCATATTCCTACTCAGTATGCATTTAAAAATGTCAAAGCATCTTTTAAAAATCCTAGTTGCTTATTCAGGATCAATATTTACTGGGCCAAATGCTGAAGTACTTTCTTAATTTAGTCCTTACTCAGGTAAATCTGCCATTGATTTTAATGTGCTTAGATGTGGAGCTACCACTACTATTAAACAGTCCACAAAATGCAACACATACAATAATTTTTTTAGTTACCAGTTTTTTTCTGGAAAAATAGATTTTTCTAGTTGTATTTAGCATCATAAAATTGTCAAGATGATGACTCCATGACTGATTATTTGTTTTTTAATTATACAAGGTACTTACGTTTCCTTTACTCATTTACACTTCTTTGTAATAAAATGTGGCTAGAAGAGTATTTAAATTACATGGAAATTTTCCTTTTAAGGAGAGGGAGACATTTTCGGAGGAGATTGGAGTCTGGTGAATGAAGGAAATTAGGGATTGGAAGTGAGTGTTAGGAGTTAAGTCTCCTAGAAAGGGTAGTGCTCAGTCTACAGAATTAAAATTATATTCTGGCAGAGTGGGAGATTTGAGGGCCTGCTTGTGTAATGACCTCACCACAGGTTGCTATCGGGGATTGAATGAAGGACCACCAGCACCCAAGCATAGATACCTACCATTTGAGCTAAAAGAATAACCGTTAAGTGAAAGCAATGGTAAGCTGTTAACCTCTATGTAAACTAGCCACTAGAGCAGGACAGTTTTCAAGCACACTTCACTTGCAGTAATGCTAGAAAGGCTCCCAGGAGCCAAGCTAGAAGGAATGAAAGACAGAGCCTACAGTAGAAGGAAAAGACATCTGGGATTTTGAGTAGAGATGAAGATTTAAGGTTCTGGAATAAAGATTAAGTGAGTGTGTGTTGAAAACATACAGAAAATGTGTGGAAAAGAAGACAAATAGATGCTTGAAGCAGAAAGACAGACAAAACCCTGCAAATGAAAAGTCAAAGCACATCACCAAGAAATTCTAAGTAAAATGTTACCAAAACACATCATTACTGCATTCCTGTATTGTTCCTTAGAAATCTAAAATTTTAGTAAATAAAGTTTAAAAATTGTATACCACTAGCATTTTATACATGATACATAGTGTGGTCTGCTGCCAATTATTTTTTTTTAAAAAATGCTATTTTGTATATTTCTTCACACGAGGCAAACTGTACACTCACAATAGAGAATGTTAAATTATTTTTATTACATTTTTTTGGATAAACAATATGCTCTGAAAATCCTATGGGGAGTCTCTACAGCTTGAATGATGGATTTGTGTCTCAGTTAAATTTGAACTTTATCACTTTCCCCAAAGCACTACTGATCTTGTTTTCCTTTATTTGTCCATGCTGCGTCTCTTGGTTTTATTGGGCCTGCTCTGGCTCTCATTGAGATCAGTAGCTAAACTCCTATTAACTACAGTAAGAGCAGACCCACCGAGCTTGATCAGTTGGCATCTATAATGCAAGACCTTCATTTTAACCCTTTTCAGGGGCTTGTACATATTGCAAAGTTTTTGAAAATGAACACACAAAACTGTCCCAGTACATTGTTCATATCTGTAAGTTCAAGGTTTTACCAGTTTATTTAATTTCTATCCCTAATAAAATTGTCCCGATTCAATTTCTTTTGGGACCTCTGTATAATTTCCTTGGGTTAGTAATCTGATCACATACTTTCCATGTGTGAACTGCTGCCATAGTACTACTGAAACTAACCTGAGCAGTTTATCCTACTTGGCCTTGATACCGAAGTCCAAACAGATATTCAATGGACATCAACTATTGATTTAAATACTGAACTCAGAGTTACAGTTTATCACAGTGGAAACATTAATAATACATGGTAACTAATATAGATTGACAACTATTTCTCTGTGTTTAAGGGATTTTTTTATTATACCAGTCTTTCGCAACAGAGTGAATTTTATCATACCATTGAATCACTTCATAACGGTGCAAAACCCATGAAAACCACTATATTACCAAATCTTTTGAACTGCTGGATGCCTTGAACTCCCACCGATTAGCCATTACAGAACACTGGTTTAGGGCTGGCGTGTGGAGACCCCATTCACAGTAGAGAGCATTTCAACCCAGGAGTAGTCATGTGAGTGAATGAGTATGTGCTCACAGACATGAGCAAGGACTCCACAATCTGGACCTTAGGTCATGTGCCATATTTATAGGTCTGACCTCCTACATAAAATAGATCATAGGACTTCCCTGGAAGAAGAAGAAGAAGAATGCAAAATACATGATGGGTTATACGGTATAAGGGTTTTATGGGTGCTTGTTTGGAATGAGCTGTGTTATTCACAAGGCTCGTCTCAAATTCATACTAATAATTTTATCTATGATTATTTATTCACATAGAGCATCTAGAACAAATGGAATGGTCTCTGGGTCTCTGCCCAAAAGAATTTCTCACAAATATGATATATGGACAACAGTTCGAGGATGAGTAGATGCAGAGAACTGTATTTTTGTATCCCAATGAAAACCAAGTAAAGGCGAGACTGTGGCTGTAAACTGCTGGACTGAACTGGTGATAGCTCCTAGAAACATAGGGTAAGCTCCCAGAGACATTGGAGTCAGTGGCAAAACTCCCATTGACTTCAGCTGGGCCAGTTATTTCACTCATTGTGCCTGAGGCAATACAATGTTTCCTGAAGCATTGGGTGAGTGCCCACAGCAAGGGCATCTGCTACTACCAGAGTGCAGTATGTACTTCCCTCTTTCCTGTGCCAACCAATGATGAAATTCTATTGCTCCTCTTAGCAGTATAGTCCCCCAGTCCATTTACTCTAAAGGGCCAATGAATGGCTGTGCTTAGAGAAGTTAAGTGGGGTACAAGGTTCCTTGCTTCCTCTTCACCTCACCCTCTTTCGTGTGCCCATGCAGGGCAGTGCACAATTTAGAAGATGGAGCATGAAATCTGGAAGATATAGGGTAAAATTCTGCCCCACTGGAATCAATAGGAGTTTTGCAATTGATTTCAATGGGGCCAAGATTTCACCCATAAAAGATAAATCACTACCCTGCTAGAGAGCTTGAAGGCTTGATCCTGATCTCAGACATGCAGAGAAGCTGATTTTTACAAGACAGACAACAATGAAGGCCTGTGCTTTGAGATCAGGATTGAGGTTTTAATATGCTTTAAAAAAGTAAGTGAACCATTGTTGCTATATTTCATGAATTAAAAGTATGATATACAATTAAATCAATTAATTTTACCAAACATTTTAATTAAACTTAAATAAAACTGATATTATAAAACTCCCACAAAGTATCTACTACAAACACATAAAGACCATATGAAATCAGTACTCTTTCAGTGCCTTTGCTTTCCTGAGATAAAGTGTTACTAAATAAATGAGAGATTTGTGAAGGGGGGAATATTTAAGGTAAGCAGGGTGACAATGTATAATGGATTTCATAAAGTACTAACACAGGCAAAAGTATTAGAATCAGTTGAAAAGCTATATATCCTTACCTGATTTTATACAGTCTGAAGACTTGCAAACACCATCTGAAAAAAAGTTATGGGACAAAAATTAAAATCCTTAATTTCCAGTTGAAAGTCTCCTTAATGTACACTACTCTACATTTTAATTTCAGTGCTACCGTCATTTCAGAATTGAATTTAAAGGCAATGCAGAGACTAAACACCACCTAAAATTTTAATTCATTAAGGGCCTGGTCCCTGCAAACACTTATACAATTAATATAATGCTAACTACTATGTCCTATTGGCATCAATGGATACTCACAATAATTAGTGCTTCAACTGGTAAGTAAGTGTTTTCAGGATCAGGCCCTAAGATTGCTAACATCTTCATTTAGTTAGGGTCATGCACTGCTTTTGATCCTTCTGATGAAATTCTGATTGACAACAATGGGAGCCATACTGCAAATCAAGAGCCTTAGGACTGGTCCACACTAAGCCCCCAGTTCGAACTAAGATACGCAACTTCAGCTACGTGAATAACGTAGCTGAAGTCGAAGTATCTTAGTTCGAACTACAAGGTACTTACCGCGGGTCCACACGCGGCAGGCAGGCTCCCCCGTCGACTCCGCGTACTCCTCTCGTGGAGCAGGAGTACCGGTGTCGACGGCGAGCACTTCCGGGATCGATTTATCGCATCTAGACAAAACGCGATAAATCGATCCCAGAAGATCGACTGCTTACCGCCGAACCCGGAGGTAAGTATAGACGTACCCTTAGTTAGGAAGAATGGAGTTTTCATGCTGGGTACAGTAAGAATGTACAGAAAGCTTTTCCATTTCATTTATCTTTTCACCAGCATATTGTATACTCTGTGCTTCACTGTGTAATTAAAGTAAAGACTGTAAACTACAGAATTAGTATATTGGAACAAACAGGTATTTTTGTTAAATATAGCATTTGCCACATTCTGTTTCTTGAGGTAAAAATTGTTGAAAAGGAATGCTCATAGTAAATCAGAACTTTAAATGAAATATGAAATTTGGATGAATTTTTAAATTTCAGTTGACCATTTAATGCTGTCTAATGACTCTTTTATGGTCAGCTGCCAATAAATGGGAGCTGTTAATCAGCTAATTTTATACACAATACTTTGTATGATTATAAAAAGTATAACATAGTAGTGACAGGCAATTAAATTCTTGGCTGAGCCTCTCTAGGTCAAACATAAAATGGTTTTTCTTTTATTAGCTAAATAATTTAGTTAGCAATATATATGCACTCAAACATACTGAAACTTTAACATCGCATTTGAGCCTACCTCACTTGAGTGCTATTACCTTATTCTATCAGGTTCATTCTATTCTTGAAGACCTTTTTTTTTGCAGAATATTAACAACTTTAACATTCAAATTGCAATAAGATGAACATCCACTTACCATCATATGTTGCATACAGAGCTATCATTGTGATAGATATAATAGTTAGGAGAATCACTATAACAACTAGCCCTATTTCAAGGGCGCTCCATCGCAGTTTTTTCTTTGGTTTTGGAGTGTTCATTTCAGTTATATCCATCTGGCTTTCCGACTTGCCCATAACCCAAATTCTGAGAAGGAAAAAGCCAAATTCACTGAGAGCCTAACTGAATCATATTTCCCAAATACATCTAGCCACTTAGCTCATCAGCTACTAGGATGTTTTCTGTGGTGAGCTAGGAAAAAAGGCTGGCATGTTTACAAATCTGAGTAGCATGTTACTCATGAAATTAAAGTTGTTTTGCCACTCACAGTTCAAAGGACAGTTCTTCTTTCACATATACAAGCCACCGCAAAGGAAAGAACACAAACCCATGGTTTTAATATTTACCCTTGTGATTTAATCATACGTCTTGGTACAAGAGTTCACAGGCAAGCAAAAGGCAACTATTACTGTCTGAATAAAAATTAACTTAACATTCCAATCTTTGATCTAATGCCAAAGGTCAAATGTTTTTTGCCTCAGTGGCATTTTTTAAAATCATTTCAGCAATTAAAGATTGTAGTGTTGATGCTATGACTAAATAGAAGAAAGAAAAATGCTTTGTTCTGGGCTCAATCCCACTCACACTGAAGTTAGTGGGAGTCTTCATGTTAATTTTAATGGGAGTAGGATCAGGACCACTGATCTAACTTTAGATGGGTGTAAATTAGGAATAACTCCAAGAAAGACAGATAAAACTAGTGGAAGTCAGGTCAGAGAATGTGCAGGTAGTAGGATATGATTGTGGTGACAGTCCTTTTTGTTTGTATTTCTTTAAAGGCAGTTTTTGGTTTACCTCTTATAGTACTGCTGATCCATGCCTTGCATCCTCATTTGAATATTGTCATTCAAATGGGGCCCGTCCATTCCCTCTGCTTCTGCAATACTGGGTCAGATTCTCCTTGATGCAAGGTAATTCTCCCTGCCACAGAATGGGGACTCTGACGGTTTCAACTCAGAGTTTCCTTGAGATTCTTTTATCCCTGCCCTTTCCACTCTACAGGGAAGAATATTGGATTTCTACCAGCAGGAATTGTGGAAATCCTCAAACTCTATGGGCTTGTCCCCCAAAGTAACAAACCAAGGGCACAGCAATAAGTCAGGGCCTTCAAGTCCTCCTGCCTCCATCATACCCAGAGGAACCCACCTGGGGCATCTGGCCCAGTGGCCCTCCTTGCCATCATCCAATAAGTAACAACAGCTGGTGGCGACCTTCTCAGCATCTTGACATCAAAACTCAATCAGCTCTGAAGCTTGTACTCTAGATATATATATATTTTTATTTGCTGTATCGCTATTGGTGGCTGGTTCTGCTTCATCCCTATCCTCTCCTACCACCATAGCCAGTCAGCTGCCCAGCCTCATTTCCTTCCCCATACAGATTGTGATTCTCACTCATTCCCACTCTTTTATACCTATGACCTCTTCCTCCCCTCCTTTCAATTTCAAGATCTCTGCACCTCCCCCCCCCAAAAAAACTAGCCCTCTATAACTAGTATTTATAAATTAATAAAATATGTAAAAGAATTCAACAGTCTGGAGCTAACTTTCCACCTGACCCATCACCCTGATCACTTTGTGTGAATGTTCCTGAACTCTTCATCTCTTTTAGACTGCAGACTCTCCTGGACAGGGCTGGTGTATGTTTGTCCAGCATCGAGCTCAATGGACTCTGCGGCCCTGAGCCTGACTGGTGCCTTTGGGGACTATGGGAACAATAATAACAAGAGTAACTAAATGAATAGGATGATATGCCCTCCCATTGTCTTTGAGTTCTACTTGCAGTCCCCAGACGTCACAGTGCTTACAGGCTCTCCTGACTCACAGGGAGTGAGTCTAAGGGCTTGTCTATACTTACGCGCTGGTTCGGTGGTTGGCAATCGAACTTCTGGGTTCGATTTATCGCGTCTTGTCTGGAAGCGATAAATCGAACCCAGAAGTGCTCCCCGTCGACTCCAGTAATCCTGCTCAGCGTGAGGAGTACGCGGAGTCGACGGGGGAGCCTGCCTGCCGCATCTGGACTGCGGTAAGTTCGAACTAAGGTACGTCGACTTCAGCTACGTTATTCACGTAGCTGAAGTTGTGTACCTTAGTTCGAATTGGGGGGTTAGTGTAGACCAGGCCTAAGGGATAGTTCTGGAACCACAGAGCAGGGAGGCACAGGTGGTCCATAGGAGACTGGAATCCTGCATAGCTTGTCTAGCCCCTCCCTTTTCAAACATATAGCGACTACCAGAGCCCTACCTTCCTTCCAGTCCACATGGGCCCCTGTATTGCTGTGAATTACAGGCATTTCATCAAATAAGTTACAGCTTGCCACACATAAGAGTGAAATCCCATAGAAAATGGATACAGAAGAGTGAGAACTTCCCATGTTTGGGAGAACTGGGGGCTATATTAAACTGTGAAATCTAAATTCACAGATAAAAATGTATAACTTTTAAATTGCTTTTATCTTTTCACTTCCACACACAGCAAGCAATAAGAATTGCTCTTTATTTATATTAAGAGCTGACCAATGCTCAAAATGTTATGAACACTCTCCTCTGAAATTAGAATATAGTACACTCTTCTGATTTTTGAAGTGTTTTTAGTGCCCTGGAAATGCAGCTTTTCAGAGCTACAAGAAGTACTGTATCTTTCATGTGCAAATGTGCTTCTTGCAGTCAGCAACTTTTTCCAAGTGAACTAGTCTTTCTGTTGCTGCAGGAGTGTTCCTCTTATTTAAAGGTATCCCACTGATTCATTCTTACTTTTAGTTCTTTGTAAAACCTATAAAGTCTGCACTAAAGAACACCTAGTAAAAGCCTCTTTATGTGTTAATTGCAGACACAACAAAAGCCTAGGAGTAATTTAAGCAGATATGAGCTTAGGCATTATAGTTTCATTATGTTTCTCTCAGTGCTCCTGTGATCCTCTACCAGCTGCTCACTAAAGCTTAGACAAAACAGACATCCATAATTATTTTGACTGGTCATGGCCTAGGTGGCAGAGTGAGTTAATGCATTAGCTGTTCACTTCTGGATGTGTATGTTTAAAACTGACTTCTGAACAGAAGTCAGTTTTAGCCACATGTTCTCAATCAAATCTCTAAAGAAATGTATGTGTGTCCCAAAAGTACCACACACTTCCACATGAGTTAAAACTTATGTCCTGAGGAACTGAGGAGTAGACATACCTGGTGTGTTACAGTAAGAGTAGGAAAGGATTGACAGAGATGACTAACAAATGCCTTCAGCCATCACTCAGATAAACATGAATTCTTGGGCTAGGGCTACTATCTCCTCTACATTTTATCAGACATGTGAATGTGATCTTGGAGTAACTATGTATACCTGCAACAACCTTCACCATTTACAAATGTAATTCATTTTAAATTAAAAAGTGAACACAAATTATTAGTTACAGCCATACCACTTTGTGCTATGATTTTGTCAGCTCCTACAAGCTAAGTAGTGGTCCGGATCAAGAAAAGGGATATCAGAATCCTATTGACACTACTGATTATTCAGTAGGTGGCAATTTGATTGGTTATGGCATCCATTGTTCATCCTTTGGAGGAGATGTAAAACCAAAGTTACCAAAGGTGTAAACCAGGGTCACTTATGATCATTTCAGTAGGATGCCTTCCATAAGTAAAGGGTGCAGGATGTGGCCCCTGGAACACTAAGCTGGATCCTGCAGGGTACTTAGCTAGGAGCTGGATGTGCTCAGCATCTCACTGGTGGCACTAGGTTTCTTGCAGGTTCAAAACCATAGTGATTTAATACATAAGTTTTATGAAATGTGTAATAACTTTTATGTAAAAGTCAATGTGAAAAAATAACCAAATGCCCTCGAAGCATAATCAGTATCACTGTAAATTACATTTGAGTCCAATGGAGGAAAACAGGGTACTTGAAAATAAGGTATGTATGACTTCATAATGACAAAAATAGCAGAACGAGAGTGAAATAACATAAATCTAGATAATGTAAACTATATGCTGTATATAATTAAAAATCACAGTCCAATGAAGGCTTGGCCACCATAACGTCAATATCCATAACATTAAGATGAGACTTTGCTACAACATGTTCCAGGGCAGGTTTGTTGAAGAGAAGGACAGCCAAGTAACTGTGTACAGGAAGGTGGGATAAGAGTTTAGAAAACTGCATTCTCTCTGTGACTATCTCCATAGCTCTCCAGTTGCATCTTCTCCCTGTCCTCCTCTTCCTCCCTCACTTCCAGAACCTCTCCCTGTCCGACCCCACTCTCATTCTCTCCCCCACTTCTCCAGTCGATATGCCCTCGCCCTGTCCTCTCCCCGCTGCCCTCTCTTCTCGCTGCCCCTCTCCCCCTGCCAGTCCCGCTGCCCTGTCTCCTCTCCCGGGACTCACCAGCTGATGTTCGGAGAAGTTCGGTGCGGATGTAAATAGACACATCACCGACCAATGAAAAAACGAAGGCAGCCTTGGGTGTCCCCGGCTGAGCAGTCGCCGGGAGCCGGCGGGACAGCGGCTGGGCTGGGGAGGTAGAGCGGGGCACAGATTCTGCTCCTGGGGCGCTGGGCTCAGATTCCGGCTGCAGCACGGCCAGGGGCGAGGAGCTGCGGCATCTCCAAGACATCAAAGCCCAGCAGAGCGCTGCCTGCTTCCCGCACCGGCTGCGGTCGGAGTTTGGCGGCGGCGGCTGCAGAGCCAGGCTTTGCTGGCGGCAATAAACCAGCCCTTGTCTCCCGGCGGCCGGCTGAATAGTTCGCTGGGGGGAGCCGAAGGCTTCCCCCGGGCGATCGTACAATGGGATGGGGGCAGGAAGAAGAACCCCTCGTCACCTCGCTGCCCGCACCGGGCGAGGAGGAGGGGGATTAGCCAGGCACTCCCGCCACAGCTTGCTCGGGGATGGCAAGGGAAGGAGGCGCCTGCCGGTGGCCCTCAGCGCAGGGGAGCACTGGTCCGACGGAGGTGCCCCATTTCCTGACTCGGGACTGGAGGCTTGGGGCAGACTTTCGTCTGCTGCTCTCTCTCGCGTGTGTGAAACACACACACAGGCCGTATGCAAAGTGACAGCTGAGCCGCAGCGGGAGCTCAGACTGCACCTTCCTTCACGGGGTTTTCATGTCTCCCCAGGCTCAGCCCAAGGGGGAGCGAGAGAGAGGCGTTGGATGCAAAAGGGGGGTTAGCAGTGGAAGTTCTGCTGTGCACAATGCCTGTTTCATGCAGGCGCGTTGCCTTTGTCACATTAATGCAGTCACATCGCTTCTCTGCAAGCTTCCTTTCCCCACGCGCACTTAATGATTTCTGAAGAGGGAGAGGCAGACAGGAGAGACTTTTTGCATTCAAGAAGGGGGCTGGGTATAGACATGGCCCTGAACTGTAAGATTCTCTGGCAAACTAGATATGCATGTGCATGTTTGGCGCCATACTAGTAGAAACCACGCTACTATCTACATAGTTAACAACGACAGTTGTTCGATTTCTGTTACCAACGTGCCAAACAGGCAACTGATAGATTTGTATTACCATTCCCCACACCCACTTTCCTAGAAGCCCATATAGTGTTTCAGGGATGCAAGTGCCAACTGAAATTTCTCAACTCTGATATTACCAGCTCCACAAACTAAAATATCTGCCACCTCAGAGATGCAACCTTTCTTTAATGGAGGAGGGTGAACATTGAGAACTAATTTCCTTTCTGAGCTGCACAGCAAATGGTCCCAACCACGCATCAGTAAGACGAGGGTGTACAGCCTACAATTAAGTAGGACAGCCTATTCAAGGAATAAAAAGGAACATAAGTTTTTATAGACTGAGCAGAAAGGCAGAGAAGCATCCAATGAAGGCAAGAAAAGGACACATTCAAAAAGTTAACAGAACAGAGATACCCCAGTGTAAATCTAAATGCAGAGTAATAACCACCCTACTCTAATCTTTTCTAGAGACTTATTAATTCAAACGTCTCAATTTCAACCTTTCATGCATTAGTCTTTCATTCCTGCCACTTCAGTTATTACAGCAAGCCATCTGCTTCCAGAACTATCCATCTTTTACTGCTTTAAAATCACCCTTTACACAGTCATAATTCCAATCCTTCTACCCATTATCCTTCTTACAAATGGTGATGGCAGACGAGTCATTTAAAAACATTTTAAAATGAGTCTAATTATGTGAGGGTAGTAGGTTTCCCCCAACCGCCTGATATTTAAAGTACAGTAAAGTTCCAGAAGTAGAGGGAAATCAGAGTGGTCTGAGTTAAAATGAGCCCAGCGGTTTCATTTTTCAAAATGTACTGAGGTGAACAAAACAAGTGCCAATACTTTGGGGCCCATTGCAGAGGGAGGAAGGAGGAAAAGTAACATTAAAATCTGTTCAAAGGGGACTAAAATGCCTGAGTCTGCATCCCTTATTTGTCCCGTTGTTTCTAGAGCCCCTAGTTTGGAGGGAGTGGGGAGAGAGAAGATATCACAAGCTAGCACATATAGGGGTTAATCAGTTATATAATCTGTGGATCAAATTCTGAAGTTCTTCCTCAGTCTTTATTCAGGCAAGAATCCCATATAAATGTATCCTGTTTAAGAGGTGAGTGACCACGTCACAGTTTGGGCTCAATGGGCCTCATTTTCAGCTAGTGTCAATTTGCACAGCTCCGTTTACTTCAGTGGAGCAACACCCATTTTCACCAGCTGAGGATCTGACCACTGCAGTAAAGGGTAGTAATATGAAAGGATAGCTAAGAAGACTTCAGAACTATATTCTCTAATCTTTTTATGCAGTGCCTTTTTTAGAGATAACAAAAAGGTCATTCCATTCATGGAAAAATTAAATATATTTATTAGATATGCCTCTACTGACATGATGAACCAAAGAAATGACAACAATGCTTGAACTCATGTGATGTTCTCTCAAAATATTTGTGTGCATGATCAGATTCCTTACTGTAATTCAATTTGCCATTTGTTCGTGTTATTTAAAAAAAACAACAGAAAAGTTCTCTCTAAATTTTAAAATAGTTTATAACAGTTTATAATCCCAGGCATTTTGGTGTTATAATAAATGGCCAGTCCTCTTAAATTGTATTCATGTAAGTAACACTTACTCCATTGAGTAGTCATATTGGTTTCAGTGAGAATAACCACAGGAGTAAGGGTTTGTCGGATCAGGCACAATGTTGTAACTTTAATAGGATCTCAGGTACTCCCTGATAACTTTCCGTACTTCTAACAAATGACTACTAAGTTGAAGCTGATACATTAAAAAGTGGTAATTTGTTAGTCAAAGAGAATACAGCATGCCACTTACAGAATCAGAAAATGGAAATAGTATGAATAGATTGTCTCTGGCTTGAAACATATAGGTTTCTGTGCCAGCTATTTGTCTAAGGGAGCTCTGATGGCAGCCCTTCGTACTAATGACATGATCTCTTCAAAAGAAAAAGTTAAAGAAACCTGCTTCTCCTGAAAGTTTACTTCCAGGTACTCTACCCCCCCCCCCATGCATCACAAGTCATTATCTAAATTGTTCAGCCATCTAATTGCTGCATCATCAAGGGTAGTAAGGTGTTGCAGTCCACCATCCAATCTTCTAATTGTGCACTCCACCACGTTTGACTGTCTGCATCACTGCTCGCAGTCACACTGTGAAGACTGGGCTAACCCAAATTTCTGCATTGTGGGACCCACTATGTCCATTCTAGTCAGTAGCCTATTAAGCCTAGTTCAGGATCCTAGATTGTAAAGTAGGGCTTCTGAAGTTCATTGGCATGCCTGTCTCTCTATCCCAGGAGTTGCTGCCACTCCATAAAGTCATAGCTGCCGGCCCAGATATGTTGTTGTTTATTTGAAATAGGCAGTGGACCGGCAGCACTGGACATGAATGCACAAATGGCCACCTCAAAAGGATATTGCAAAGTCAGTTGTGGAAAGTTATCAGGAACTACGGGATATGTGTTTTCTTCTGGAGGTGGGCAGATCTTCTTGTGGGAAATGTGAGTTGTTTATTTGCATGTATTGGAACCATTGTCAGGCCTTGTGTGCAGCAGGTGGTTTCATCTGTCCTATCCCGCCACGTAGTTTTAAGGTTGATGGCATCTCAAAAGTTTTGGAGGAGCTATGTGAGCCAACACACATAAATTAGATGTTAATGTGTGGCTAAGGCAGCCACCAATGATACGGTGACTGTGTTCAGCTCCAAATCAATGAGATGCTATGCCATCTCTTGCCCCACACTGCTGCACTGTATTCCTCTGAAGTGAACACCAGTGCCAGAACAGAGGTTTTTTAGAACATTTGCCTCTGCTTCCCAGGAGGATCCTGCAAGCTTTTGGATCAACGCAGTGTAGGAGAATCTTTTTCTTTGTGTTCTACATGGGACTGTTAAGATAGACTACAGTCCAGTTTGACTCCTAAATAAGTGGCAACTAGCTAAAAAGGAAGTGAACAATCCTCAGCAGAGACTGGTAAGCAGTAGATTGGTTATAATAGGTGAACAGTTGGGCTGTTTCAAGGGAACTCTTGGTAAACCCAGGAGGGGGCAATAGCTGAGCTATTCTGGGGGTACTTAGACTCCACTTGTTACCCTGAAAACAGAAGTTAAGACAGTGGCCACAATCTTCCATCTGAATGATCACCTGGCCAATCTGTTCTCCTCACGTACGGTCTCCAGGGTGTCTAAGGAATTTCTAGAGGATACGGATACAGCCCTCTGATAAATGATTGACACAAGCAGTGTTCCAAAACAAAGCACCCTTTATTGGTGCAAACACAAATAACACAAATCCCTAACACAATAACAACCTAACATCATCCTTATTGATGCTATAAAACACAAATCCCTCACAACAAGCTAGAGAGCACCCCAAACTCCATTACCATACAGTTTGAAGTGATGCTAAATGGCTGTGCCTTGCTTCAGATGGCCAGTCTTCCACAGGTTGCTGACAGCTGCTGGTAACAGTCTTTCAGTGTCTTTCATGTTAAGTCTCATCTCTCATCTTTGGATCCTTCTCTGGTTTCTGCTCCAACTTCTACATGCACTCTCAGACTCTCTCTCTGCACCATCTCTACACTCCTTGCACCTTCTCTTCTGCTAATTGTATCTTTGACACTCTTTATATACTATGCTGTCGGGCTTCATAGACAGTTGTTTTGTTTACTTTTGCTAATATTTTCCTGTCAGAGTTCTGCAGAGCACATACCACATCACAATATTTTTTAATGTACCCAACTTCATGATCAACAACTGCCTCACCTCTGCTTCTGTAGCCAATTTCTCTCCTGCCAATTTCATTGCTAAGTGACCTACAGCTTTCATCTAATGTGACTCTTGCTCACCTATGGAGTGACTCTTACTCATTCAAAATAGAGGCTAGGGATAGAAGATGGAGTCTGGGGACTTCAAAATGGCATTTCTCTGGTATAACACTGACAAAGGTAAGTGGCCAGAACATTTGTGTCTTGGCAGAGTAACCCTTCAATATTGTGTAGAATGTTACCCACATCAGTGGGATGGATAACATCTGCATATACATACTGTGACAAAGTTCCTCCTCTAACTTGGTGGGTCCTGCGCTTATTGGCGGATTTTCTTGCCTCAGAGATTCACCATGTGGGTTGGGGAACAGCCCAGAGACCTTCAACTCTGGAAGAACCCACAGTCCAGGTCAACTGGGAGGTTTGGGGGGAACCTGGGCCCACCCTTTCCTCCGGGTTCCAGCCCAGGGCCCTGTGGACTGCAGCTGTCTATAGTACCTCCTGTAACAGCTACAACTCCCTGGGCTACTTCCACATGGCCTCCTCCAAACACCTTCCTTATTCTCACCACAGGACCTTCCTCCTGGTGTCTGATAATGCTTGTGCTCCTCAGTCCTCCAGCAGCACACCCTCACCCTCTCAGCTCCTTGCGCCTCTTGCTCCCAGCTCCTCACACTTGCACCACAAACTGAAGTGAGCTAGTTTT